GCAGCCTTTGTTTGGTTGGATCTACTGCAGGTTGGCCGGTTATATGTCGCTTTTCTGGTTTGATCCCCGGTCGTCCTTGAATTTGTTGTCCTCCCTGAATTTCCTGTCGTCCTTGAATTTCCTATCGTGCTTGAATTCGGATTTGTTAATGATTGCTGCATGTTGAGGACCGACTAGTTGTGACACCGAAACAGGGACCGAATGTAGCATAAAATTTCTAGTTGCATATCGATTTTCTTCCTCTGTTTTCCAAGGCTGAAACAACGATTAATGGTTCAAGCAAACGGCGTATAGGATTCTCTTGATTTTTATGGTTATAGGATTCAAGAAATTGTTGCGTATATACGTTGTTAATGGCGAGATATGTAACTCTGGAATTGTAATTTTCAGAATTACAATGGTTGTTGTTTTGCATGTCCTTAGCTTCGGTCTCTTGATTCTCTTGATTTTTATGGTTATAGAATTTGATCTCTATGAGGGTAGGGTAGAAGAGAATGAGGTGGTAACATGGTGTATATATGTGTATATATGTGTGTCCGAATGGTTCATTTGATAAAGCTAATTAACGGCGTTGATAGAGCAAAGTAATAAGACATTAATTTGTACTATACAAAGAAATTAAGGACTATGTGGATAATTACTTAAAAATCATTTGGAATTAATTTGGGGAAGTCTCAATCAAAATAAATTTAATGTTGTTCTTTCTCCTGTTATATTCTCTTACTTCTCTCTAATATGATATTTATTTAACTAATTTAATTATATTAAAAAAGTTAGGTAAATTAGTTAATTATGATAAATATAACATATTTTTGTAAATAATCTTGTTCATCATTCTTAATTTGGTTTTTATTTTACTCCTACACAGTTAAATTAGGATAAAAATTAATCAATGTAATGTAGTTTAGGTTCAATTTATATGATATATTGAAATTTTAATTTTAAAATGTTCACAATCAATTACCACCGGAAAATAGTGGACATTGACATTATGATTATATATTTATAATGTTAAAAAATATCGAATAAGAAAACTAAACAGGTTATGCAATTAAAATGTGTTACTTGGTGATATATGTTTGTTTGGTTACAACATATGTGTTATATAATACAGTTTTTATTATTACATATTTAGGACTTTGGTTGATTCAGTTACTCTTATCTCGATCAAAGGACGTAGAGAAATGGATAATGACAGGGGAAAAGCGACATGGGATCATTATACGACAAAAATTCTAATCGATGTTTGTGCCGAGCAAATAGTGCACAAAGAAAGACAAGGAACATCGTTTACAAGACCTGGTTGGTTGAAAATTGAAAAGAATTTTCGGGAAAGGAGCGGGAAAATGTATGACAAGAGGCAACTGAAGAACAGATTTGATGTATTGAGAAAAGATTGGAAGTTGTGGGAAAAACTGATGTCTGGGGAGACTGGCATTGGTTATGATGCAGCCACAAATAGGGTGTTGGCCTCTGATGAGTGGTGGCAACGAAAAATACTGGTAATTATTTGTGTTAGTTGAGTTTTAATTTTGAATATCAGAAGGAACAGCGCTTAATTATGCCTAATTATGTTCATGTAGGTGGACCCTAATTTCAAGAAATTTAGACATCAGGGGCTGATGTTTGCATCAGATCTGATGAAAATATTCAGAGATGTTGTGGCTTCGGGAGAGTATGCGTACGCACCATCAGCCTCACAGCCTCAGCCAGCGTTTGCTCCACAGCCTGACACAGAAGAGGAGGAGGATGTTTATAGAGTCGGGCTAGACCAACAAGAAGGGTCAGGGGATAGTGAGGATGAAAACTTTGGTGTGGACCCAACAGCCAGTGCAGGGTTCACAGATGACTTCGCTGCTTGCAACATAAACAACCCCGCAAGTACTGGACCAAGTGGCTCAGGAAGCTATGGAAAGAGAAAGAGGGGTGAGACATCAGATGCAAAGAAGAAGAAGAAAGTTGCTGCATCTACATTAATTTCTGATAGCCTGAGTGTCATAGCAGCTGCTTCTGACAAGCGAGCAGCAGCATTGGTTGAAGATCCCCAAGTAGTTGATAAGGTTTTGGCACACCTGACTACCGTTGAGGAGCTTAATGATGACAATCAACTATATTATGCATGTGCCAAGATGCTTACGCGGTTGAGGTGGGCTAGACGAGCCTATTTGGGGTTTATGCATGATAGAAGCAAGTTGTTGGCGTGGTTGATACCGGCAGCACAAGACCCAGACACATGGAAGTGACCTGCAGATAGGATTTAGTTTAGGACTTAGTTGTTTCACTATTGTTATTGCACTTGTTAACCTGAACTACCTGCTGTTTTAACCTAAACTGATGTGGCATGTTGTAGGAACTTTATTAATCATTATGTAATATATTTACGCTAATGTCTACTTGTCATCTATGCGTGTGGTTTTTCTGTTTGCAGTATGAAAATTATTTACACTTTGTTTAGTGTAATCCTTATAATGCTTACATTTTGTTTTTACCACAGTTACAGGGTTAATTCCAGAAATGGCTAATTGGAACGATGATTCACCATGGAATGAAGATACTTTATGGAATTGGAATAACGATTCACGGTCAAATGAAGATGACCATTCAACCATAATTAATGAGGAATTAACACAATATGAAGCAGTAGGTGCATTGGTTGGTCATTATTGTGAAATGTACATGTTTAAACAACCGTGCAGAACTAGTGAGCAGACAGGAAATTTATGGGTACAAGGCATTATGAATGGGCATGATGATCGATGTCATGAAATGTTTAGAATGGATAAAGATGTTTTCCACCTCTTATGTACTAAATTGGAGGAACATGGTTTACAAAAGTCTAAGTACGTAGGAATTGAAGAAATGGTTGCGATGTTTTTAAACACGGTTGCACATGGACAATGCAATAGGATGATCCAGGAACGATTTCAACGTTCAGGGGAAACTGTAAGTAGGCACTTTCACAATGTACTGCAAGCTTGTCTTAGCCTATCGAGTGAACTTATTCGACCCATAGATCCAACATTTCGTGGAACTCATAGAAAAATTGAGAACGATCCACGTTACTACCCATTTTTTAAGGACGCAATCGGAGCAATTGATGGCACTCATATACAGTGTGTTGTCCCCGCTGCAAAACGAGACAAATTTATTGGCAGAAAGGGAAATCCATCACAAAATGTCATGGCTGTATGTGATTGGGATATGTGTTTCACTTTTGTCTTGGCAGGATGGGAGGGATCTGCACATGATGCTCGTATATTTGATAGTGCTATTACAAACTCATCTCTTAATTTCCCTCATCCACCTCCAGGTATATGTTTATGTGTTCCAATCATGCATGTTTTTTTAATTATTTCATACTTTTATTCATTTCACAATCTCTCAAATTGTTTCATGAATCATTAGGGAAATATTACTTGGTTGATGCGGGATATCCAACACCAAATGGATATCTAGGTCCATACAGATCTGAGCGCTACCACCTTCCAGACTTCCGACGACAAGTAGGATTCCGAAATAGTAACGAAACCTTCAATTATTATCATTCCAGTTTAAGGTGCACAATAGAAAGAACATTCGGTGTTTGGAAGAATAGATTTCAAGTCCTACGAAATATGCGCAGTTACGACTTCCAAACACAAGTGTATCTGGTTTGTGCAACAATGGCCATTCATAATCTTATAAGGAGACATTCGAGTTCCGACTTGTTTTTGAACAAGCTGAAAATGGTAATAATGTCGGCGAACATGATCAGGCTGAAAGTAGTCAACCATCATCTTCAAATGTTACATCACAGTCTTCATCGCATATGAATCGCGTCCGTGATGCAATCAGAGACCAAATTATCCATAGCTTATCTATTGATTAATTATATAATATTATTTAGTTTCACTTTGTTGCAATACTGCAAATTGGAGTTCAAAACATGTTTACCCATTCAAATTATGTTTCGTTTGATATTTGCAATTTTTTTTCCATTTCTCTTATGTTTTCAAATTTAATTCCCTCGATCAATTTCACTTCTTCATATTAAATTAACAATAATTCACTATATTATATCAATTCATTTTTTTTCATGTTTCACATTATATTTAAAATATTTGTTATGATTTTTTTGAAATTTTAAAATTTAGTTCACTCATTAATTTGACTTCTTCATAATAAATTATTTTAATTTCATTGTATTATGTCAAATTATTTTTTTTTAATCATATTTCATTATTTATTAACACTTATACCCATTTTGGTCATTTTATAACCAAACTTACTTTTACTCAACTATAATCCAAACAACTTTTTACCAATCTCACTTCTGCAAACTAGCTTTTCTGAACTCCAATCCAAACACAATTCAGCTTATCCAATTTAGCTTTTACCAACTTCACTTTTCTATAAGCTACTTTTCCTATAAGTTGCTTTTCCAATCGCTCATTCAAACGGACCCTTAATATATATTATATCTCATTTAAACAAAGATAACACAATAATAAATAAAAAGTAAAATTATATATCCATACAAAAAAAAAATTTCACTATCTTATAAATAGGACCAATAAATGTTTTCTATCACTCTACTATAAAAAATTTCCTTCACTGTTCTATAAAAATATGTTGGAGTTTGATTTTTATTCTTGTTTATTAGTTATTACTAATGGCCCATGGGTGGGCTTTGCATACAACCCAATCTCAAATCTCTAACAGTATATCCTGGAAAGATTAATCCAACCCGAGCTCGAAGTAATGAATTTTTTTAATTTTTTTGTTTTACCTCTTGTTAATTGTAAATTTAAAGGAGGCATTAATTGAGGAGTAATTTTTACTTAAAGGAGTCTGAAGACGTTTTTGAAAAAGCAGTAGATTAATTTCACAAAATTTGACGTTAACTCCTTAAAAAAAAAAAAAAAGGTTTTACCAGAGAATCCTGAAAAGGACGGAGTGGAATATTCCCCCCGTTCGTCAATCCCTTCAATAATTGAAAATCAAAGTTTCATAGTTCCATCATTAACGAGTAGACTGAAATTATTGAATGATTTGGGATGCACCAGAAAATTGTTCTGGGAAGCATGACCGGTGACAAAAAGAAATCCCAGTTGGCGTTCGGTGCGTCGTAAGATTTGTGCCTAAAATCGATCAGAAGTTTTTATGTATACCTGCTCTATAGTAGTCTATACAAAAAGAAGTAGCGTAGAGAAGTGGCGAACACTCCAGACCGCACGAGAGGTTCGCCGTCCTAGCCTCAATCCTCTAATGGACTTTCAATTTCGGCATATCCAGTCCTCTCCCTGCGTATACACTCAAAACAGAGTTCGATTCAGGCTTGGATTCAATGCCGCCAACAACATCCATCTTCGCCCTTTTGCCCAGATACATTCTCACATAGAAGTTGAGGCACAGCAACAGAATAGCACAATTCAGCACCGAATTGAGGATCCAGGCGCCGATTCCGTTGCAGCCTCCTTTGTAGAAGTGAAGAAGAAACACCCCGACGTGGGAGATCAGGTTGCAACCCAGCAACACTATTTGGCAATTGAGCACAAAAGGGAAGCAGGCGCTGCGAAACCCGACGGCCGTCCAGAATCGGTAGCCGTACACCAAAGAATAAACCAGAGTAGTGAACAGAATCGCCAGCACTTGAAAGGACTGCGAAAATTCCAGCCACAAGAAGGACATGAACGTGGAGATGGAGTGGTTGAACAGCTGGAAGAAAGCCAACTTACGACGTCGTAGGATGCAGAAGATGGTCCTCCACATGTGCAGGAAACGGGAGAGATAGTACACGTAAGACCAGAAGAAAACCCGACCCGACGGTCGGGTACCGAGTGGGAAGCAGAGGAGCCATTGGATGGGAGTCTTGGAGCGGCGCCAGAACCAGCGGGTGTCTCGGATCTCGGCAGCAGCGGAGAGGAAAATTCCAGCGAAAATAGTGACGGAGACGATGGACATAAAAAGGCTGTGAAGAGCAGGCAAGGGACCGAGGGGAAGGGGACGGCCGGAGCGGAAGAAGAAGGCCAAGAAGAGATGGAGGAAGAGGGAGAGAAGGATGAAGGAGGCGATGGAGGAGAAGAGGAAGAGCCAAGTGGAGCCCCAGGATTGGGCGGGGCTCCAGCGGAAGCCGACAACGGAGGGGTGCTCGGAGAGGTAGAAGATGAGGGTGTGGATCACCGTCGAAGGGATGGCCATGGTGAAGCCGGAGTGCGACGACGGTGAGGGATCAAACCACTTTGGCGCTCCGCTCTTCACATTCTAGGAAATCACAATGCGTGCAACTCCCGGACAAATAAAAGTTGATCCGACGCCTTCAGATTGGTCAGTCCGACGTGGCTCTTTACCCTTTCTTAAAAAAAAAAAAAATTTCGTATTTTTAATTCAACATTCTATCATTTGGTTAGAAAGTAGCAGTCATATTTATAGTTGAAAAAAAAAAACACATATTTTCATATTTTTCAATTATCTTGAATACTACCCATGGTATTTATTTTTGAAACTGTAGGGCACAGTACATGGGCACGCCTAACTACACTAATGTCCATTCTCCGTAAAGGTGCTCGTTTCTTCTCTTTTCTTTTTGTGGGGGGCTGTATCTATTACGAGTCATTGGCTCCCACAACTTTAATTATTAGTTACTTAGTCGGGTTAAAAATATATGTATTAGTCACTCGATTTAATTTATACGGTTTAGCTTGTGAAAGATATAATTTGTGAAATGCTTTATAAAGTGTGGATCATGCCTTATAAGAAGTATTTCATAAAATATATTATTTATGATTTAGGAATAGTTTAGGTTTTCAAAATACACATACTCCTCTAATCTTTAGTATAAAATCTAATTGTTGAGTTGATGTTCTAAATATAAGACCTATTTCTCTTATTTATCAATTTTTTTTAAATTACCCATGTGATACTCCCTCAGCCATAATCAAGAAAAGAGGAAGAAAAGATATTAAGGAAGATGATTTTAGTGTTTTAAAAAAAACATGTCATATTTCTTATAATTAACTAACTTACCTAACTTTCTTAATCTAATCAAATTAGTGAAATAGGTATTCTATTAATGATCGAATAAGTATTATTTATGTGAGAGATACTACCTTTGGTCCTTAGTTAAAAAATAATGACTTTCAATTTTATCTTAAATATTTATCTATTTTTTTCAAAGTAGTCATTACACTAGTGACAAATGTTAAAAATAATTATAACTAATACATATGATTAACAAGAATATTTTAAGAAAGATAACATATATATTGCAAATAACTAGCTTAATAAACTTTTTTAATCTATTCACATTAGTCAACTAATTTTGATATTAAGGATTGGAATAGCATATTTAACTTTAAATGTGTTGTGTTTTTTACTACTTGTTGCATTTCCTCGGTGTGAGCTTGATGATTTTCACAGAGTCTCAAAAAAAAAAAAAAGATATATGGTTGGAAACAAGTGATGCATGGTATAATACCTTTTTTTCTTGAAAAAAATTACAATCAGGTACCACACGAGAAATTAAATATAAAAAAATTCTTTAAAACCATGAAATTATTTTAAAGTCCCAATAAACTTTTTTGCACCAAATTGACCTTATTATTATTTTTAACTTTAAATGTGTCATGATTTTCACAAAGTCTCAACAAAAAAAGAAAAAAGAAAAATATGGTTGGAAACAAGTGATGCACTGTATAATACCCTTCCCCCCCCCTCAACGCACTGTGTAATACAACTTGTTCGATCCAGTTTTAGATTTTTTTTAAGCGTGGAATTTGAGATACAATGTGTAATCCAACTCCTGCGAATTTTTGTATTATATGCGGAAAGTAGAATAGTCTTTGTTAACATTTGTTTGTTTGAGCCACAGGAGCTTACTAACGAATAGCTCATGATTATTTATGAAGCATGTTGTCCGGAGGATGCAGGTGCGCTTGCACCGTGAGAACCGCGTGTTCCTCGCCAAACCCCTCCCCATTCCATAAATCCAATCACTCATCAAAGGACATTAATTCTTGCCCAGCAAAATCTTTTACTCCATCTGTTTCGTTTTATGCATCATAAAGACAATTTTTTATAGAGATCAAGAAAAATCGTTGAATCATATCAGATTTCCTCGAATTAATAAACTATTTTTCTAAAATGTCCCTAGTGTTCTTTCAATAAATAACACTCATAATTCAATCTATTCCTGCAATTTAATATTAACAAGTAAAATGCGTGTAAGCTACAGTAAATATGATTTTCATGGCAAAAAAGGGGAGATGCAAGCGCAACTGGGGCGTTGGTCAAATAAATGACCCGGCGACCAATAAATATCTGACGTAAAGGCCAAAAAAAGAAGTTATATGCTATATTTGTTCTCTTTAAACTGCTCGTAAGACATACATTATATTTACTCCTTAATATAAGAACTATTTACTAATTTGAGTAAACCAAAAAAATTTATTAAATTAGTTATTTATAATTAATAGATATCGTTTTTCTTAAAATATCCTTACTAATTAATATATTAATTTTAAAATTTGATGAAACTTTTAATATATGTAAACTACAAAGATTATTTTGAGAAAAAATGAATAAATATGAGAAATAAAACAGATTGGATTTTATATTTAGGATTAAATTAAAAGTCAAATTAACTTTTATATTAAAAAAAGAGATATATATATATATGCGACGAATGATGAGGCGGAAAATTTACATAAGATGAATCCACGCGGTGTTTAATTAACCAATAAAAATGACAGGATGAAACATAATTAGCAATGCATAGGTGGAAAAGCAGGAGGACGAAGACGTGCAGGTGTCATGCGGGAGGGGACCGGCGTTCTCCACTAGCCCATAGCGATTTTAACACGCAACGAAAACCCGACTCACCAAATTCATAGGCAAGGGATTTGTGCTGGGCCCCCGGGGGGTTTAATCATGTCGGAATTCATCTGAGGGAGTGCTTGGATTCTAACAAAAAGATTTTAAAACGTGTTTTCACTGTATCTCAGTTAAAATTAGGTTGGTGGTGAAGGCTGAAGAGCAGGAGGAGGAGGATGGTGATTGGTTAGGGATACGACAGAATGGGAAAGTATGTGGGCACAGAATAGAAAGCAGATGGTGGGGACGTTATTGGGCGAGTGCAATCCCAGAAGCGGGGCTGCGGGAAGAATCTGTGGCGGCACAAGCCAATGTCGACACGTGGAGGGGGGAGAGTGCGTTCGCGCGCATGCGGTCATTAATCAGGGAAGAAGGGTTTATGGATGAGATCGTGAAGACGGAAGAATGGGTGATTTGTATTGCCACGTGCAATGCAGCATGTGAAGGCGCAGGCTGGACCAAAGCACGCGCGCAGGGTCAAAGCCTTTCATCACCCTCTCTTTCTTTCTTTGTTCTGTTTTTTTTTTTTGCCACTGCCATCATTAGCCCCCTGCATGGAGCCTGCTCCACTGGTCAGGGTTGTGACAGCACAGGAGATTTTGCAACCCTGACCCCGCTGGAGGCAATCAGAACGGACGCTCAGTTTTATGAGCGCCAAACATTGGTTCACACTTGGCGCTCATTATTTTGTATATAGCACGTATTGAATGGGGTGACTGAATATTCTTAAAAATGTTTTTTCAAAATATTTTTTTTCATAAATCGTGATATTTTTTTACATATTTCTTTTGTATATCATAACAATACTTTTAAAATTATAGTTTAGATTCTATCTAAATATTCTCTTAAAATAATTATTTACTTTGAAAAGCGACCTACCATGGAAGGATAATAACATGTCACGGATTCAATCAAAAGATCAAGTTGACAGATAACAACTGAACGGAAATTAATTTAGTTTCCAAATAAAAATTTATTTTTAAAAAACTTACAGTTAAAATATTATATTCATTTTAGATTATATCCCTATTAAAGAAAAACACTTTTAAAAAACAAATATATTAAATATTAAATCTCTGCCATCCATATGAAATTTGAATGGTTGAGATTTGATGAGTGTGATGTTTTTAAATAAGACTGATTCCCCATCCTTTCTGTCTTACTCTTGAATTTTGCGTAATGGAGCTTCAATTTTTTTTTTTGTGGTCACTCTCCAGTTAAAGAGGGCTTATATATGCAACCCATGAAACACATGCGAAGTCCAGTTTGTATTCGAGGCCATTAGTTAAGGTGACGAGTGGGCCAAGTAAGCCCACTATCCTATAACTGAAGCCGTACCTCATCCATGTCCTCACCGAAGTCTTTTTCCGTATGGCCGGAACGCACCCGTTATGCTCTCTCAAAACCCGAATATTCAAATAGCATGCCCTCCCCCCTTCCCCTCTCCCCAGAAATATACTACTCGTATCAAAATTGTGTAACTTTCATCTGAACTTGAGGCGCAACATCCAACAAAGTCCAAAAAAGGCGGCTCCGCACGTGCCCACGGACAACAACCAAGTCAGAGCAACCCTCACCGACGTTAATCCCTTTCCGGGGTCCATGATCCATTATTAGGCAAAGGACAACCACTGTACCTTCTTTTCTTTCTCTTTTGCTTTTTTCTTCTTTGGACCGTATTGTATTTGAAATGCAAGCAGAGAAAATATTGGAACTTGGAAGTTCAAGACTTCTCTTGTCGGTGGCAACCTTGGAGGGCCTTCCTGTCTTTTTACTGTTCTTCATTATTTTTTGTCCTTTTAAATAGTTTCCATAACGACTAAGGTCCAGGCGATGTCTCGAGAAATTCTTGCACGCACCAGTGTACCACCTCATTTATACACTGGCCAATAAAATTCTGACAGTTCAACCAATTCTTATCTTAGGTGTCTGCTGACATGTAACTGCTCGTGTCTCTATTATTTTAATTTTTCTTTTTTAAAAATCTGCTTCTTTATCCTCTCCCCCCTCTTTCTCATTTGCAAAATGTTTTTTCAAAAACTTTCACTCTCCCTCCCTCAATTTCCGCTGCTCTTCCCTTCTCTCTTCCCCCCTTTCTCACCCCTCCATGGCACCATCTCTCTCCTCTTTCATACGTGATCTTGATACTTTATCTCCAGGAGCTCTGCAAACTACAAAAGCAAGTGCTTTGTTTTCTTTGCGTTTCTTCCACTTGAATAGTGCTTCTGCTCCTTCATTTTCACCCTCGCTTCCCCTCTCTCTCGTCCTCTTCCTCTGTGTCTCTCTGAAAAATCTGAGGCTCTGGACCAACAACTGGAGGAGGGAGGAAGAAGAAGAAACACAAGTGCCATCAAGATTATGTTGCGCTTTAGATCAAACCCATCACAAGAGGAGATTACTGGCTGATGAAACAACGGACAATAGTTCTCTTGGGTTGGCCCAGGACAAAACTCGTCGGCCGGAAAGATGGGAGGAGAGGGGAAGAGAGAGGGTAACGTGCCGGTGGAAGAGAAAAGGTAGGAACGGCGGAAATTGAGGGAGGGAGAGTGAAAGTTTTTTTTAAAAAATTTGCAGATGAGAGAGAGAGAGGGAGGAGGGGATAAAGAAGCAGATTTTTTTAAATAATTAAAATAATAAAAAAAGGAGCAGTGACATGTGGGCAGACACTTAGGATAACAATTAATTGAGTTGTCAAAATTTTATTAACCAGTGCATAAATGAGGTGGCACACTGGGTGTATATAAGAATTTCTCCTCTTTTTCTGTTGGCCCGTAAGCTCATTCACATTGGATTGGTCAACCTGAAGAAGAGTAAATGAATATCACAAATTACGGCAAGAACAATGACTATGTAGGCCCTGTTTCGTACAGGTAACCACGGAATGATTTTTTTTTTGGTGTGCTCTGATAAGGCAATCACAATATAAAAATTTTTTCGGACCAGAACACAATATAAAAATTGATGTGACACAAATAACCGCTGCCGCCAGCTTGAACTTGCCAGGCAATAATCACATATATAATATTGAAAGAAAAGGAAATAATAACACTTTGGTCTTAAGAGAAAAATAATCTAATACCAACAACTTCAACTCCAAGACATTTTTTTCCCAAAAGAATTAAAAATCTTGTAGCATGAATTTCCAATTTTCCTTATTATGAATCCGAGGGAAATGGTTGTAAATCTCCTAATGACATTTGTCAATTTTTGCTGCAAAAAGTACGGAAGTCCAGTCCGCGTAGTGGAGAAAACAGTTGCCAGCTGTGACAGGGGGGGGGCACGACCGATGACATGAGGAAAGAGGGCATTTTCGTCCTGACACGTTTTATGTTCTTAGAGAAATACCAATGGAATTGATGATAATTTTCAATACTCTTCCTATTCTAAATATAGATTGATTTTATAATGTAAATTACATTATAAAATTGGTCTTATATATATAAGACTGGAGGAATATCCATTCATGTCTAATTTCCCTCCCTTGCAAACAAATACTATCTCAGGTTATAATTATAAAAACTAATTGACTAATTTGAGTAGATTAAGAAAATAAATAAAGTTAGTTGTTTGTTATAAATATATATTGTATTTTCTAAAATATCTTTGTTAATCAAATTTATTGGTTAAACTACTATTATTAGAAAGATTATTTTGAAAAAAAAATAGATAAATATGAGAGACAAAACTGATTGAGATATTATATTTAAAATCAAAATAAAAATCAAACGAAATTTTATACTCCTCCGGTCTTAAATATAAGACCCTTATACTAATGAGTATGAAAATCTTATATTTAGAACTAAAAGAATATTAAGGACCAGAGGTAATATAATGATAGCGATGAGAAGCAGGAGTTAATTTCTTAGCAGCCAGAATAACTTGAACTCGTTGGGGTAGTAAATAGATGGACGGGGGAAAATCTGGTAATTTTACGATAGAAGGCTTCTATACATAAGAGCGTGGTATAAGTAGCCAGCGGCGTGGAAATTTATTCTTGAAATGTTGGGTACAGTCCAATTTAAGCTTTTTGCAAACAATTTATTTGCGAAATGTTAATATCACCAGAGTTGATTATTATGATAAAATTCATGTTCGGATAATTTTTCAGAGAGAACTTACATTCCTCATCACCTGGGTGTTTTTGGGTAGCTCCAAAAATATTTTTTTCATAAATCAAGACAGACTCTTTTAAATATTTATTTTATATACTGTAAAAATACTTTTAAAATTATTATTTTCTTTCTATTAAACACCCCTTTGGTTGTTTTTTTCAAGCATCGTTTCTCGTTGAAGTATTGAACTACATTTTGTTTTGTCAATTAATTTTATAATATAATAAATTAATTTTTTAAAACCATAATAGAATCAAAACAACTTGAGTTATAAGAAATTGTTTTTATATAAAACTTGATAGATTTAAAATGTGTTCAAATTCGAATTGATTATAATAAAAATAAAGAGGATGTTTTTCAGATGAGATGCTGAGGTGGTGGGACAAGGATTGGGGCCCCACACCAGGCCCAAAGTCGAATCAACGAAAGGGGGCGCAGTTGGTGATCACAAATTTTCAGCTCACTTTCCCCTGCCTGCTTCTGTTTTGTAGGTGATTAAATTATTACTTTATCTTAAAATGAAAACAACACGGTTAGTGTAATTTTTCTCTCTCAGGGTTGTGTTTATTTTAGTTTTAGTTTTCATATATTAAATTATAGATTTTGATTTTTTTAAAGTTTTTTTCATATGAAATATCAGTTTTTATAATTTAATGAAAATTTGGATATTTTGTTTTTAAGTGATCAAAATCTATGATTTAAAATTTAAAAGATTAAAATTAAAACGACTGCAAATTTTGACGGAGAATACCGGGCATACTGGAATTGTGCTGCCGAATACACATGCCCTTTTCTATGTGAATACCCATAATCTAATCCATCCAATTAGTAATTAGTGTTTATTTAAACACGATGTTATCCCCTTTCCGGAAAATATACCAATATAAAGACGATGCTGGAGTCAAACAATATATTCCACACAAATTAAGTTGGTGCAAACAAAATCATCGCAGCTCGCAGATGGTCATAGGTAAAATAATAATATGAGAAAGCTGGCGAAGAAAAGAATAGTAAACACATATAAGAAAGAGAAGAGAGCGCCAAATAAAATATTGGTATAGGCTGTCAGTGACAAAACGTGGAATATCATTGACTTATGGGGTGCTTGTGTGAAAGAAACCAACGTGGGCTCGAAGCGACGCAGAAACCGCGGGAGGGCAGGAGCTCTGTACTGTCTTCTCCGATCTCCTCTTTCTTTTTCAGTATGATTTGGGTCACACATTCCTCTCAGTAACTATTTCCACATCCATCCTTCTGTCAACACAGCCATGCCTCCTCCTTCACCGACGTCTTTCATCTGTATCCTGCTCTTCTTCTCCACCATCAGCAGTAGCTACGCCGCCGCCACTGCTCCCCGCTTCAAAGAAGCCCCAGAGTTCTACAACTCCCCCAACTGCTCCCACGACGCCGTCCACATTGCAATGGCCCTCGACGTCACCTACCTTCGCGGCTCCATGGCTGCCATCCTCTCCGTACTCCAACACTCTTCCTGTCCCGAGAACGTCTTTTTCCATTTTGTCTCTGCCGCTTCTCAGCCCTCTTCCGCTTCCATCCTCAACCTCAGCATCTCTACCTCCTTCCCCTACCTCAAATTCCGAATCTATCCCTTCGACGACCTAACCGTCGCTGGACTCATCTCCTCTTCCATCCGCACCGCATTAGACTGCCCTCTCAATTATGCCCGCAACTACCTCCCCAATCTCCTCCCTCCGTCTGTCAGGAAAGTCGTCTACCTCGACTCCGACTTGGTCCTCGTCGATGACATTGCAGAACTCGCTGCAACTCCGATGAGCTCCGATGAGGTCCTCGCTGCTCCCGAATACTGCAATGCCAATTTCACCACCTACTTTACGCCGACGTTTTGGTCCAATCCCTCCTTGTCGCTGACATTTGCGGGTCGTCGCAAGCCTTGCTACTTCAACACCGGGGTGATGGTGATCGATTTGGAGCGGTGGCGGGCCGGTGATTACACGAGGAAGATTGAGGAGTGGATGGAGCTGCAGAAGAGGATACGGATCTACGAGCTGGGATCATTGCCGCCTTTCCTGCTGGTGTTCGCCGGGAACATAGCGCCGGTGGATCACAAGTGGAATCAACACGGGCTTGGCGGCGACAACTTTCGCGGGCTTTGCAGGGATTTGCATCCGGGACCGGTGAGCCTGTTGCATTGGAGCGGGAAGGGAAAGCCCTGGGTTCGGCTGGACGCCAACAGGCCCTGCCCCTTGGATGCCTTATGGGCTCCCTACGATCTGTTACAGACTCCCTTTGCTCTCGATGCTTAGCACATCCATTTCCTGATCCTTCTTTGTTAATCCCTTCATATTTTTTTTCCGCCCATAAATAAAGATGTTAAACCCACCACCGTCATCTTTTTCTTTTATTTCCCCCAATCTTTTCCTCTGCGTGGATCTTGGGTTGAATTTTTCCGGCACGTGTTTGGGAGGAAGATGGCGCTACAGTCACTTCCGGCTGATTGTGAAGGAGACAGAAGTATGGTTACATCTAGGCTTGTAATGTATAGTAGGGACAGCCAGGGACATATCGCGTTTGCTGTTTTCTCTGAGAAATGCTGTGGAATGACTGTTAATTACAACTTATAATTGTTACTGACCGTGAAAGGAATTTTATTGGGTGATAATACTCTTTCTCGGTTTCTCGTTTGAGTTCTCGTTACTTTATTTTCCTCTCAAATCCCATTCTCACGTAATTTACTTATTGCTCAATGCGGTTATTACTAGTTGAAAAAGACTTCAAAGTCTGCAACTTTTGCACAGGGGGTGTATATTTGATTAATGAGAGCAGTCAAAATCTAGCACAACGCAAGAGTGAGCCTGTAAAGAACAGAGAAGAGAAAACGATGGGCAGGGACGATGTGGGTGACGGTGACGCTAGGGAGATCCGGAAGGGATGAGTGCATGGGCTTTTTTTTTGGCTTTCGCGAATCGCCAACAGTTTTTTCACGCGTCCGGGGACTGTCTGCCCAAAGCAAAACACGACTTTGGGAGGGTTTGACGATAACTAATTATGGCGAGTGGAGACGCTTTTATTTCTTTTGGCCGCCCAATTTGAGGTCGGCTTTTGGCTTAATTAATGGGTTCATTGATTTGAAATGGAGATTGATGTGTGCGTGAGGATCCTATGTGTTAGGATGCCTCTCGCAAATCGCAAGCATAATTATGGCAGCCTCAGGAGCAGAGTGTGCGGAGCCCTCGGTGGAATAGTACAGAGAGCAAATAAATGGGAAAACAGGAAAGCGATGCATTAAAAGCAAAAGAGAATGAGTGGGTGCGATGAAAGCAGGTGGCTCCGGAGAGAATGGATGTCAGAATGAACGGATGGTGTTTGAAAAAAGGCTTCTGCTTTCCCAACTCCCCATCTACAATAATATCAGTCCTCGATAGTAATTACCAGTACTTCAACGTGTCCCAAGTTACCGTACGTGACGTAGCATGTGGACAAAAAGTGAGACGGTAGAAAGTAGCAAGTAGTAACATGAACATGATGAGGAACAATAGTAAAAGACAGGTTCAGGGTGCAGGGTTTTACACTCCTGTATTCTTTCCCCTTTGCCCATTAATTGTTACGTATTCGGCCCCGCGGGCAATGGCACGTGCGATCCATGTCCCCTGTAGAGATTAGAGTCATGACTTATAGCAATGACTTATCATTTGTTTGGCCTCTAGAATATTTTAGGGAAAAAAAATATTTATTGGGAGTTGATTATCTAGAATAACCTAGTTTCAGCACTTGCAGTCTTGCACTCGCATTAATGTCAATCAATTTATAAATGCCGACACTGTTTGATATGTGTGTGTATATATATAATAAATAAAGGGAAAACTTTTGGGGTCAAAATAAAATAGATAATTAAATAAAAAGGAGAAGAAAACCTTTGCTTCTTTGAATGTAAAGCATGGCGCACATGAGTGGCTGTGGAGGGAAGCGATCGATCACAACAGCCGAAGTTGGATGCTATAGTTTAGTGTTTCTTACGGTCAAAGGAGGGTTGGGATCCGGGAGGCATCTATAGGGGCCGTTGTATTTCGATGCATGTGTGAGAGATCCGAGAGATGCATTGTGAGTTTGAGGAACGGCAAATTTAATTTTAAAAAAGACCATTTGAGGTCGGACTAGTTTAGCTGTAGTCAACTTATCACCGTTCTTAATTATGCCATATGAATCTTACTATACAGATTACAGGACATGGGGATGCGCGGAATACTAATGGATTCACAGTGGAGCCGAATATTACAGCATGGTTTGTCATTTGTGCCTTGTATGGAGGATTTCAGCTCTCGCAAAGAATCTGTCTTCTCTTTGAAAAAAGCATATGAAACGGGAGAATTAAATGGGAGACAAAGAAGGTACGCATGGCACATGAACACGATGAAGGGGATTGGAGAAGGGAACATGGAACATGAAGCGAGAAGATAAATCAGGAGAGGTATCGTACGTGATTGGTGGCTCCACAATCTCGGGGTATGAACTTTTAACGCGACGCGCCAGGGTTAGCCAGGCATTGATATTCTATTTCTCATCACCAAACGTGGATCCATGTATCCATCACCAATCACGCTTAACTTTGTACCTTCCCAACTCATCATCCAAAGGTTAAAAAAAAAACATAACAATAAATCAGATGACACTTTGATATGAATACGATATCACTCTATTCTGATTTTTTTAGCCGATCGAATAGCTCCACCCCGATCACAGCCGCCGCCGCCGCAAGAAAAGGATCGGAATATTAGGCCCCTTCGGTCCAAGTGCAAGTTTTTACGTTGGAATATGCTATAAATCCTTAACGCTGTTCCTGTCGGATCTTTTATGGGTTCTTTTCTCTCTGATGCCCGATACGTAATATTGTTTTTTCGGTTTTTTCTTTCTTTCCCCGTTGTTTCCCGGCCTCAACTGACTCGAGAAGCCACTCGATGCGGAGCCCGATAACCCGGTTACATGAATGAAGCAAGAGCCCACTACGAGTGAGCCCAAGTTTAAACCCGCCGTTTAACTATATAAGAGTCCCCGGGTATCTGTTTCAGGGGAGCCAACGGGAGCTAGGTTGGAGAAAAGGGACTACGCCTATATTTAGTATGCAACGGTGTTTCCAGTGTCTAGCAAAAAAGAAAAAACTCGGCGGGATCCAAGTGTCTCCTACCTCTACACTTCTTAATGTCAAAATTTTTAGAGTGACTATAATTCATAACTAACTATAATGTAATTATTTATAAATTTTGTATTATATGTTGGAGTCTAACCACTTATAAATTGGGGAGAATTCCGGAAAAAAAAATCTTTAAATTTTAAAATTTCAAATCAGTCTTATTTTACTGCTAATAATAATTGATAATATTTAAAAAAGTACTAGTAAATAAGAACATGTTTTTGTAGTTATTTCTTATTTGAGGTTTTGAGATTTTTTCTATAAATTGTACTCTTCTGATCTTTAACATAACATAAAATCTAATTATTGAGTTGATTTTAGTCTTAAATATAAGACTTATTTTTTATATTTATCAATTTTTTAAAACTACCTCCATAGATATTCCCTCAACCACAATCAAGTAGAAGAAGGAGATATGATATTTAGGAAAATGATTAAGATGTTTTAGAAAAAATATATCATATTTCTTATAATTAACTAATTTACCTAATTAATTTAATCTAATCAAATTAATTAAATAAGTCTTATATTAAATACAGGAAGAGTATATTATTGCACGCAATTTTTCTATGATTTTTTAAATTAATAAAATCAAAACATGCGCCTAACAAACACCAACTTGGAGATAGGGTCCGGGGATCATTTATTGGCTCGCCGGGTGTCAGTGTACGAAGCATCTCGACGATGTCTGTGTTAATCAATGCGTGAAATCATGAGGACGTCAAAGTCATGAAAATCTACATCATTGCCCTCTCCGCTTTTTTTTTTTTAAATTAATTGTTCAGAGCAGAGCCACGGCGCATCTCGAAGAATCGTGAACGGCTAACATTTCACGAGCCGCCCAACTAGGGTTATGTATCACTGTTTGACACATTTAAGATTACAATTCGCAGTAGAGGTAGGAGGAATACAGCGACATGTGTCGTCCGTGTCGGTGGAGAAAAAGCTTATACAAGCCTTCTGGTGATTCCGACTTGAGTAGCTCCTTTCTTCAAGCGTCAATCATGATGCATCGCCTTTTCTTGCTTCTTTGTAGTCTCCATCATTCTCTTCCCTTCTCCATCTCTTTCGGATGTATCTGTAATATATGTACTGCACTATTATCTGTTGCACATCGGTTAAGGTTTTAGAGTCTTTAGTGTCTCCATATTCAAGTAGCATATGGTAATGGGTTTAGCAGTAGCAGTCGCCGAAGCTTTGTATGTATGATTGTGTGTGTGCGTGTGTGTGTGTAGGATACAAATAGGTCCAGAGCCACGCAAACTACAGCATCCAACAACCATGGCATATTCGCTCTGATGCTGTCCCACTCAATAGTTCGTACAAGAATACTGCATCCACCAGAGAGCACAATTAGATATCTTTCATGCATCAGGCGTCAAATATATTTATGAGGGAGGAAAATTAACCTGGCCACATAGGTAACATTGGCAATCAAGGCAAAGACGAACATGAGAGGGTTTAAGCCCTGTTTTATATGAAAACAGAGACAATAAATTAGTAAATACTCATACATATTAGCACACGGTGATTGAGGCCATAAGTCATAAAACACATACCTCCACACTCCCTCTTTTAATCTGGTCAACAAGGCAATAGCTTTGTTAGGAGAACATATAACCATGCAGAATCTAATAGCCACTATTAAGTGAAGAAGATTCAAAGACTCACATTCAACCATATTTGAGGGAGTCGGCCTCCCATATATATAGCGGCCATGAGCCATCCCAGCCATTGACCAAAAGTACTGTGCGCCTCGTGCTCCTGCAATCGAACATCGTATAAGTTATAATCCAAACGCAAAGTAAATGTATGCTTGAGTAGCGGGGCCTATTCGTACCTGTAAGAGTTTCCTTGCAGTGAATGCTAAAGCATTGCCCTGCGTAGGCAGGTTCAGCGATGCTGCTAAAAATGTTCCGTAACCTCCCTGAAATTATAAGCCAGAGTAAGAAAGGCGAGGAAGAAATTGATGTTTGATTTGATCTTCAGGGGCCTATTTTGGTGATGAACTAAAAGTAAGGTGAACAGAGTAAAACTGTAAAGTTTTTCAAGATTTTAGAAAGAATATCCCGAGTCATTGTTCTTTTCCTCTGCTGAAGATTTAAATAGACGCTTGGGGAAAAGCATCGGTGAGGACTCTAACAGTGGAGATGATACTCACCCGCGTATTCTAATGAACAGGGGTGAAAAGGAATGGGAGCACATTAAGTGATGAAATAGAAGAGTACATACTAATTATGAGGTTCAAACGTATATGTGATGTAAATGTGAATGGATAAAATAATACTCGGGAGTCAACTGGCAAGCATACTTTTAGACATCTCCAAATATTAGTGCATATCATAGTCTAGTACAATGCAGGGCGTAGAGAAGATTGAAGACTCACAGCGAAGGAGCGAGGGATTGGTCGAGGTTGGGAAGGAGAGTTGATGGAGGAAGACGGAGGAGCCTCATCGTCAGAGGAGGAGTCGGAGTTCAATTCCAGGGCGGAAGGGCCACTCTTAGCCACCCGCATGTAGGTGCGAAAAGGTGGAGTGCCACTCCCGGCCAGCGATCTCGCCGACCTGTTCGGTTTAAACATGCATACACAACACAAACAAACATCACATCATCCGCTTTATTTTATTAATCACCACCAACAAACCATATGAAGACCTACGTATAATAGAACATCTCTCTTCGAGGGGCTGGGGACGATGTTTTGTGTGCGCCATTTGGTATGGGAACTCCAGGCTCGTGTCTTGGTTTCGATCTCAATGGTTTTTTCTCTTCTTCATCATCCTATCATCATCCAACCCTCACGTCATTTAAGCACAGCAGCAAAACCCAGGGGAGCATGTTAAATTTTACAGGCAAGAAGAAGAAGGAACAAAAGGAAGCGAGTCTCAATTTGTGCACAAGCTAACTGCGGAGTACCTCTCGGTTATTGATTTTTTGACGACCTCGTCTGCCCCATCTGTAGATGTAATCATAGTACAGGCTTTGCAGAACTAATACAATGGTAGTTATTGTATACAGCTGTCAACCACGGTAACTGCTGCTAGTGAGATTATTTTGTTACAAGTAAAGTTCCACCTAAAGTAATGCTAATATGAATTTGCATTATCTGTACTTAATTCCAATTTGATGTTAATAAATATCATCAGTGGGGGCCAATCCTATAAAAACTTACAGAAAGTAGCGGCAAAGAGGGGTGGGAGAGAATCTCTCCTAATTTTTCAAAAACAGTGCATGTATATAGTTCTAAAATACATGGAATTGTAGATATACACCGGACGGACAAAAAGGAAATAATTCTTGGAGAGGCACATGTGCCACTTGGGGGTTGAGCCGAACTACGCAGCCAACCAAGGTTGGCCACCTAGTTGATTTGGGATTGGATTGATAGACACGTATCCAACTTTGTCTCGACTTGGCCTTTGGTTTGCTAACGCCATCGTCTATAACTCATGTTTATAGCTCTTTTAAACTATTCCTAGTACGAAGTAGACAAAGAAAGGGAGAGCTAGACCTGAAAACTAATGCAAATTTGACAGTGTCATTTACCAGAGCTGTATATAACTGAGTGGGCAGCTGCATCCGTACGCAAAACCACCATAAAGAAGGGCAAAAAATTGGAAAAAATAAAAAGGAACAGAGTTAGTCCACAATCATAAAATAAGTAAGAGCAAGGGAATAGGACACATTGGTGGATAATGATGCACAGAGCATTTTTCGTCTCGGAGATAGTGTATCCGAGAAGGCCACACAATTGTCAATTTGCGCCAGTTTAATTTTATAGCCACAAGTTGAACCAGCTGAGACCTCTGGCTCTCCCAGGACCACCACCTGCAACCAAACAATGAAACGAACATGTCTCACGGTATGTGACTCAGACTCACCGTGGCTGGCTCCAGAAGACAGCCCACCAGATTGAATATATCTCTGCGTAAAAAATTAACGACACAATTAAAATTACAAGTTAACCACAAGATTGACTTGAAAAATACATACATGAACGGCGAATGAATTGTCGTTAGTGTTGTGTGCGTGCAGAGTGCGATGATTAAAATGGTAGAAAATGAAGACGAACCCAGCGACCCAAGTGAGGAGAAAGGCAAGGGAAACGCCATGGCTGGACTTGGTGTGAAAGTTGGTGATTATCTGAGGAATTTCTGCGACCCCCCAGCATACGAGACTGATGAGGCCGAAAGAGAAGGAGAAGTCGTCTTTGAGATTACAGAGGCAGTCCTTGAAGTACTTCTCAACCCAGGGCACACATGGCTTTCTCTCCCTCACACAGTAAGAAGGCGCCATTCTCTCTCTGTCTCTCTCTCTCTCTTCAGCTAAGCAAGTGTTCTGCAGCGAGAGGCGTGTGATGGCTTGGTTTTAAAAGAAGCCAACTTCTGGAAATTACAGACCATGACACCAGATGAGGGAAGGGAATTCGACAAAATATACTGTCCTTTTTATGGGGTTAAATTGTAAATACGACAGAGTCTGTGGCTTATAGCATATTCTCTCCCAACACAGTGCTACCAAAGGGATCAAGTTGAGTCGGGTTCACCCATTGCGTTTATTTCTAATAATGGGAATAATCCCACTTTATGTACATTTAATTAGGGGAGTAAAGAAACAAGTGCAACCCGCTTAATTTCAATTTCTCATGGAAAACTATCGTGGGATCACATAAAAATAATATTATTCACGTTCAGACTTTAGATCTTTGGACAATGAAAATGGAACACATGAAAAATTTCTGGACAGGAAATTAAAGTTTCAGAACAAATTAAAAGCCGTGATGATATTACGCTATTCACGGAAATTAATCATATACTTCCCATTCTTTCCTTTAATTAATCATGTTATATTTGACTCTTTAGAGGAGAGATCAAGGAAGAGAATGTGGGAAGAAAATATTGACATTTTTTATTATTATTTATTTTACTATTTCATCTGGCTGTCATTGTTGTCAATATCTCATGTATTGAGCATATTTTAATAACATAAATAGACATACGCCACTTCTAGAAGGGCCTCAAGTTCATTCAGGGATCAGTATCTCACGTTCAAGGGACCAAGGTATAGCGCAGAAAATGATTGTGGATCGTGGAAGTTAATTGAAAGCTTAATTTCTCATGCATAATACTCGTTCTTCTTCTTCTTCTTTTTCCCCCCTCTCGGTGAACATTACTCATTCTTCTTTGATTAATGGGGAAAAATGATATGCATGGGGCATATGCTTTGGGATATTCACCTGCTTATGGAATCAAATGAAATCAGATCCTTATTCTGGCGAAAACAATAGCCGTACCCCTTCCCTGAGTGATGTGAAATTTCAGCACGATGGGGTACACCATTCTGCGCTTTCCGTCACGGACCTGAAACAAAAATGGACGCGGAAAAAAATAGCAACGCTCATGGGCCATTGCAACAAATAAATACTACTTCCTGTCCTTAATATAAGATCTTGTTTGATTTTTATTTTGATCCTAAATATAAGACTCTAATCTACTTTGTCTCTCATATTTAGGTATTTTTTTCAAAATAGTCTTTCTAATAATTGTAGTTCTAGTTAATATAGTTAATTAGTAAGGATATTTTAGAAAAAACAACACCTATTTATTACAAATAACTAACTTAACTTCTTTCCTTAATCCCCTCACATTAGCTAACTGGGTCTTATAATTAGGACCGGAGGTAGTATTACTAATAGAATGAAAAGTACTTCCTCTCCTCATAACAGAAATACTCTTCCGGCTATTAACATAAAACCTAATTATTAAATTGATTTTGATCATAAATATAAGACTTATTTTTTATATTTATTAATTTTTTTAAAATTACCCTTATGAATACTTCTTTAACCATAATTAAGCAGAAGAAAGAAAGAAGATATTAAGGAAGATGATTATGATATTTTAAGAAAAATATATCATATTTCTTATAATTAACTAATTTACCTAGCTTCCTTAATCTAATCAGATTAGTTAAATATGTCTTATATTAAGGACCGAAGGAATACTATATAGTTTAGATTTTTTTTTGTTTTACAAGTTACTCTTATGTTCTAAATTTTAATGCATAGTTATTACTTGTTAATTTAGTTAAGATTTAAAATAGCATGACATTAAATCAAAAGGTAAACACTGAAAAAAAAATTTATTACACAGCATATTGATTTTCTTCCGGCTAGGATAATTAAATAGGTAGGGAGGAAGCATAGTGCTAGGTTGGATGTCCATAGAGGGTAAGCATAGCTAAGGTGACAATATAATACTAGGATCCTTAATATAAAAACTAGTTTGACTCTTATTTTGATCATAAGTATGAGATCTCATTTTATTTTATCTTTTATATTTATTTATTTTTTTAAAGTAGTTTTTATAATAATACTAGTTCTAGCCAATACACTTGATTAGTAATGATATTTTAGAAAATAAAATATATATTTATTATAAATAATTAATTTAGTTAATCTTCTTAACCTATTTAAATTAATCAACTAATTTTTATAATAAATTATTTTTTATATTACAGGAGGCATCGTTACTAATTACTCACAAGGTTGCTTTGCTTTGTTCGGTCGTTGGACCCCATCATTTATTTCATGGTCTGTCCCATCACTGGCATATCAAATCAAAACCACCACTTTCCATTACAATTTAGTTAATTCAATTCCCGTCCACATCTCGTTTGGAATTTTGTGATGCTTGTGTGCATCCATAGACACGGATCCCTTCAATTCCCACTCCCTCAACTGCCCATCAATGGTATCAAAATTATTAATTTGCCCACACGCGCGGCCCAGAGTTTATGTAATTTTTTTTATTGAATCATAATTGATGTATTATCTTCCATCCTAATTATAAGATCTCATTTATAGTTTATAAATAAATTAAAACTAGTTTTTAATACAAAATACCTCAATATGTGCAATTGATAGAAATAGTTTAGGAAGATCATGATAAGCATGAAAACGAAGTAAACTAATACCTTATATATATATATAGATATAATTAAGTTCAACCCTCACCTGGCTCTTATATCAAGATTGGATACTGTATGTCAGGATGTGCATCTGTTTTGCTAGTTTTTTCTGCCGATTCACCTATTTCATAAAAATTATATATGGCGTCTGAGTTTTGCAATGAAATGAGATCCCTGCTGAATGGAACCCGTAATATCGGCCAAGTTCAACACCTAGATGTGCATCTGTTTTGCTAGTTTTTTCTGCCGATTCACCTATTTCATAAAAATTATATATGGTGTCTGCGTTTTGCAGTGAAATGAGTCAATGAGATCCCTACTGAATGGAACCCGTAATATCGGCCAAGTTCAACACCTATATGTGACCAAAAACAATGTTGAACCCATGAATGAGAAGGCATTTGTGGGGACTGGGGAGGCAGCGTTGCAGGGACAGCAGCGGTGAATCTGGTCTGCAAAGGTGTCAAGGTTCATGGTTCACAATAATACCACCGTACTTTTTTTCTTTTTGGGGTCATCCGGCAATAGGTGGTTGCCAGCAGGTGAAGGTGCTTGAATTATTGAAACGCTATACATGTAGAGTTGAGAAGAAATTAAGAAAATTAAAGAGTGGGGGAGGGGGGCGTGGGGAGGGAATAGAGATAGAAGTGGAGCGTTTTGGGTAGTTAGAGAAAGTGTGGAGGCAAGAGAAGCACAGGCAAGTTGGATGAGGAGATGAGGAGGGAGGGAAAAGTAAGATAAGGGGAGGCGGGGGGAAAGAAGTAGGAGTTAGTGAGAGGGAAAGAAAGAGACAAATAAAGCGAAGAACGGCATCGGTGCGCTGCAGCGCAGCTCAATCTATTGATGTGGCCCTCATCTTTATCCCTTGTGACGAGGCGCCCACACAGATACACATGGAAGTCTGCAAATGAGTTCACTGCAGATACGCCAAGCTTTAGAACATGCATGAGACGCGCCATCTTTTTTGTGATGGAGAAAGCGACGGAGGGCTCGAACAAATTGAAGGGAGTGAAGATAGAGATGGGCGTGTGCGTATATGGGGAAGGCAATACCTTTGTACTACTTCCCGTCCTTAATATAAGATTTCGTTTGACTTTTTATTTAGTTCAAATAAATCGGGTCTTATAATTAGGATCGGACGTATTATGTTGGTGAGGTAATAAATGAGTAATTAGAAGCAGCGAGTCCCAAGTGTACGAGGATTAAGTAAATGAGTATAGCATCAAATCAGATCAGACCAGACTAAACTAGATTGGGATTGACAGTAATGCTTATGGGGTACTATAGGAGCTGGGAATGGAATGTCAGCGTGATTTAATTTGGATTTTGGACGCCCAACACAGGCTTTGACTTTGACACGCAACATCTCTCCCACGCGCGCACACGTGTTTGTGCCTCCTAAGTACATGTCTGCCGCTTCATTCCCGCAATTATTATGCAATGCCGTTTGGCGGTCGGGCCTTTTCTTTTCTTTTGTTTTTTTTTTTTTAAGTAGAAACTATGTATTTCATTAAAACTCAGCAATGCCAATGCGTTGCAAGCTACTGCCTCTTACAAACGAAATGTTATAAATATTAAATAGGACTGAACGAAGTGTTATAAATAGGGCTGGAGGTAATACTAATCTCCTCCGTCGAAATCCGCTCCCGTAATAAGAGGTGGCGGTTGGGCCTTCACACTCCCACTATGCTGCGGGCCCCACTCCATTCCTTGAGTTTGTGGGTCCCTCCAGTATTACTTGTCCCGTTTACACCTCAGCCGCCTTCATAAGTAATCCCCCCCCCCAAAAAAAAACTTTCGATTGATTTTTTCATCATGTTTCTTTTTTCTTTTTCGTTTTTCCCAAAAAAATCAAAATATAATATAAATATGATTAAGCACACACAGACACACTATTACATTAAGCGGATTATTAATACTCGTCCGGTTCAAAATATAAACTAAACTTTATTTATTTACGTTTATCAAGAAATTAGTTAAAATCATTTTAAAATAATAAATATATAAAGCATCTAGTAGTTTTTTTTTCAAATATACCCTTGCTAATGAAGAGAATAAGTAAAAGAATACAATAAATGAATCAAAAAGAAAAAAAAATAATATATAGGAATAAAATTAGAAAAAACTCATTAAATGCTTAGATAAAAGTGAATGTTATCTTATAAAAAAACAAATATCTATAATAAAATTTAGCTTATATTTTGAAGCAAAGGGAATATGATATATATAGATGTATTGATGTGACATATTGTAAATATAAAAGTTTGAACCAGTAATTATAATTAGTCTCCCCTTCATAGGTGGAATTGTCCTCATAGCTTAAACCACAATTTATTTGTTTTAATTTATCATTCACATTATTCTTAATATGTTAGTTATCTCTTGGTTGAAACTAATTTCTGTACTAAACTACTTCTAGTGATTATCAATGCGATCCACATCTACCCTTCAAGGAATTTTTTGCGTTAACAGTTTCAGGTATGACCTGTTGGATAAATATTTTTACGGTTGTGAAGTGTTTCTAATTCATAAGCATCACACACGTGGGAGGATCAACCGCCGTCGCAGCTGATTAATTAAATGATTGACAATTTTGTTGAAATAAACCGAAGGGGTTGATACTCAAATCAAATTTAGCTCTTTACGATTCACGGTTACGATAAAACATGGATTTTTTTTTTTTGCTGTTCAAAAATAGCTCCTCCCTAACATTCGACACTCCCCTAACCACAGCTTAATATAACCACTCAACAGATTCCAAGCTTCACCAACCACTCCCATCTTCATATATAATTTTCCCCTGCACTTCCACTTCTCCAACCTCAATAATCCTCATTCAATCCTTCCTCCTTTCATATATCCTCATCAGAATCTCAACTCGTTGCGCGTGCGCACACACAAATGGCCTCTCAAAGCTTCAATTCGACCCTATGCCCCTTTGCTTTTGCTGTTGCAATCCTTATTATTCCGGCCCTTTGTTCCGCCAAGATGACTGGTTTGAGCATGAACGTGATTGATAAATGTTGGAGAACGAACTCCCAGTGGCGCAGACATCGCCCACAACTTGCAACTTGTTCTGTGGGGTACGCAGGGAAGATGACAAACAACATTGGGAAAGACCTCATCCACTACAAAGTCACCGATCCCAGTGACGACCCAATAAACCCCAAACCTGGCACGTTGAGATATGGAGCTTCCATGATCCAACGCAAAGTGTGGATCACATTCCAAAGGGACATGCATATTAAGCTTCTCAGGCCCCTTCTCATCAGCAGCTTCACCACCATTGATGGCCGAGGCGTCAGCGTTCACATTGCTCGTAATGCATGCTTGATGATCTTCAAGGTACCCCCTACCTATACCTAGTCATCGATTTCTCACGTCGTGGACATTATTAATTATTTATTTACTTATAATTGTGTATTGTGTGTCTGCGCTTTTATTTTTTGGGAATTAATAGGCGACCAACATAATAATACATGGCATTCGGATCCATCACTGTAAGCCTCAAGCTGCGGGGATGGTGGTGGGTCCAGAAGGGAAGGTGATTCAAGTAGGTCAGGTGGATGGGGATGCGATCAGACTGGTGACAGCCTCCAACGTATGGATTGACCATAATACGCTGTATGATTGTCAAGACGGCCTTCTTGATGTTACGAGGGGTTCCACCAACGTGACCGTCTCTAACAATTGGTTTAGAGACCAAGACAAGGTTATGCTTCTCGGACACGACGATGGTTACGTCAGGGACAAGAACATGAAGGTCACCGTGGTGTACAACCATTTTGGACCTAACTGCAACCAGCGCATGCCTAGGTCTGTGATTAATTAACTGATCGCTTACAAGAATACATTTTTGTGTGTGTGAAACATTGGTTCATTATTGGTTAATAACGTTGCAGAATTCGCCATGGATATGCACATGTAGCCAACAATCTATACCAAGGATGGGTGCAATACGCCATTGGTGGAAGCATGGGACCCAGCCTCAAAAGTGAAGCCAACCTGTTCATAGCACCACAATCTGGGAGCAAAGAGGTATGTAATTTGAGTAACTCACTGAACTTGTATAAAAACCTATACGTATAACAAAGTGATGGAGGTATTATTATATATTTTAAACGATACATGTTATGTAATTGTGTGTGTGTGTGTGTGTGTGATCAGGTGACATGGAGAAAAGAGAGCAATGGGAATATGGGAGAGTGGGAATTTCATTCGGTGAGGGATGTGTTTGAAAATGGAGCTTGCTTCACAGAAACAAAAGGAGGGCGTGTACCAAAACCTTATTATAACAGGGAACAGATTTTTGAAGTTGCAGATGCCAAATATGTGAGGGCATTGACAAGATCATCAGGCGCCTTACGCTGCTCCAAAACCTCCAGATGTTGATTTTAACACCAGACCAGCGAGGATTTTGCTACTTTAATTTGGGATTCTGAACAATCCGTCCTGTATGTTAATCTGTTTCAATTAGCTTCTTGCGTTGCTTTTTAAAGCTTATTATAATTTCGCCTCCTGGTAGATGGTAGTGTTTTATTTGCCACATTGTACAGCACTTGTATGTTCTGATTCATTGTAACATTGTTGCCGATTAATGTGCTTATAGTGCTCCATTTAATCATTTATAGGTATTCTGTTTAGATTATAGCACAAAGTTTGCATTTATTGATTTGGAAAAAGATAAAAATATTAAACAATAATTAAGAATTTCCGATATCAGTGACAACTGTGGGTTGTTTGTGTGTTTTCTGGGGTAATTTGCGCTTTTACTAACATTTCAACTTTTAAGTGGATGAGAAGAGATGCTAATGCGTAGCATACGAGGAATTCTCCAAATTTCTCACCTAAGATCTAATTGGGCTAAAGAATGTTGGCCACTTTAACAACGTGACTGAAAAATTAAAACCCACAACAAAAAATTTGTTCCTAAAAAGTTCTTTTTAACGTAAAAATGCTCTCATATATTGACATTAATAAACTACTAGTAGAAGAAAAAACTTTTTAGCCAAAAAAGTGGTAGAAGAAACCAAATGTCATATCTATGAATATTTTTTTGGCCACATTTCATTGAACATTTAAGAAAGAAGAAGCCCTGAGGAAGAAGGAAGCTGCAGATGTGAGGGCAAGAATTTCCATAGTCCTATTATTTAGGCGGGGGTTTTGGGCTTTCTGGGCTGCTTGTGTTTACCCAGCTTGATGCTTCCGGTCCGTTCTTCACAAAAGCGAAGAGTCTTCACAATTGACTATGGCCTTGTTTGCATGTACCTGTTTTGAGTAGTTATAAGCATTTTTACTTGAACTGTAATAAAATTTTTCTTGCTCATATTATATTCATAAATTGTGAATAAAAAATTGTTTATAAATCACTACAAAACAAGTAAAAGGCCCACGATCCAACCAATCTTTGTTTCTCTTTCTTTGTGATTTTTCATTTAAAAAGGAATAAAAAGATCCTGCCCTTTCTCTTTGCCAGTTGCCCGGGCATGTATCCGCGCGCCTTTTTTTTTTTGGTTGATATTGTTTAGGCTGTGTTGAAGCTGACACAGGCTGTTAAGATGACGTAGGCCAGGAAGTAATCGTTGAGCCGAGCCGCAACAGTTCTCGTTTATGACTTTTTGAGGGGCTGACCGTTTGGTTTGGAGCAAATAATTTATTTTATAAACAGAAAATTAAGGGGTAAAAACTAAAAAGGCAATCCATAGTTGATGTGGTCTTATGAGTTGTCTTGGCAACATGGGAAAGGATCTTCCAGAATCTGAATTGGGCATATCCGGGAAAGAGTGGCAGAATGAGTGGAAGGTTAGGTTGATTGTGAAGACAAATGCAAAATGACGATCGTGGGCAAATAAGTAATGCATCATTAGTGGAGTAGAATAGTAGGTGACGGCGAGGCGGAGAGATATGGATGCCCTGCAAATAGGATTTCGTGATGCTGTTGCAAGCCTTGCTTATGCATTCGAAGTTTCGATTTCCCCATCTATTGCCTCGAAATCCAGCAGTGCCCGAGCTGCCTTTCAATGGGGTGGAACCATCTTCGACTTGTGAGTCCTTTCTTCTCCCTCTCTCAGTTTAATTGTCTCTACTCCCATGTACACTTTGCTTAAATCCTTCTTTTTAGTGAAGTCGTCGGAATTTTTAACTTCCGGGATTTCCTTCCCTAAATATGTGCCCAAGGATTTCAAGCTGTGCATTAGTCACTTACATAGATCGATTATCCGGTATCCTTCTTAGGAGTGAAATAACAGTGACAATTGCAGGATTTTAGTGTTGAGAATATTTGTTACGATTATATTTCGTTCTCCCATGCTGGCACTAAAATAGCAATATTTGTGAACGAGTGAAGTTGATGCCTGATTTTGCTTTATCCTCCATTCCTTCTCGTCTTATTGGGATAGATAGCAAACAATACGCCCTTCCCGATTTGATCAAAGTAGTTGAATTGTGTAATCTGTTTCCCTGTATTGATGTCTTGAAATTTCGCTTCCCACTTATGATTTCTTTGCTAACTTGAAGATCCTTGCTTACCAAATCTGGCTAGTCAAAGATCTTTCCTACTGGAATGTCCATTTGCATTAATTGATCATGTGTTCCCAAAATCTGATTGAACCCCCAAAAAAGTGGAGAAAAGGAAGTCTCTTCCTTATCCTGGGGTTCAAGTCAGCGTGATTTATTGTAATTCGGGACCAATGAGGCGGCAATGTCTTGTCTTTTGGGCCAGTGCAGGAATTCCTAGTTCCAAGCTCTTACATAGCCTAGTTTCAACACTGCTACAATATATAATTGCAACTCGCAAAGATACTCATGGGCTGATGTGTTTAGTGCCCAGATATTTTGATGCTGAAATGCTCCTGAACAAAAGAAAAATGGGCTGTCAAATTGCTAAATTTATAAATTGTTATGATGTTCGGCTATGGATCTTCATAGAGGCTTTCATGAGAAGAGCATTAGTAGTCAGTATTTCCCGTAACTATGTACATCTGCTAATAAACTGTCAGCCATCTATCTCCCGGTGGTCTGATGGCTATGGGTCTTCAAAATAATTGAATTCCCACAGTGATGTAATCTCCCCCCACCCCCCCCCCCAAAAAAAAAACCAAAGAAAGAGAGAAATGAAAGAGGGAAAAAATCACTATCCCTTCCCTACATTTGGTACGAAGTATTGAAAATGAGAGATGAGGATTGTGATTGAGATTGAAAACATATGTTAAAAAGATACTTAGCATAAGTGATTTCTTATCACATGGGATTAGGTAATCTCATATAGATAGGATTGGAGAATACCACCTCCCTTCATTGTATTCCCCAATCCCATATATATGGGTTTGTCTAATCCTAACTATCATACAATTACTTATGCCAGACACCCTTTTAATATAGTTTTCACTTTCAATCTCAATCCTTATCTCTCATTTTTAATGCCTCGTACCATACAAGATCTATGGGTTTCTGAATTTTAAGTATAGAGCTATAGAGCCTTGACTTTGAATGTTGGAACTTTTTTCATTTGAAATATGTTTTAGCTTTTCTCATGTCACACAATGCTTAGATTTTATGCGCCTTTGTCATACAGGTTTTTGTTGATCTTGAATCGATTTGGACAGGACTCGCGCACACAAAGTACCCTTCTAGTGTTATATCTCTTTATAAGCCTACCAGAAGTACTATTCAAAATTTTAAGGTGCTCACAAATTTCCGACTCACATTGATTGACTATATTTCAATCCAAAATAAAAAGAAGCCTTTGGTCAACCATCTAGCCTTTTGAATTTATAAACTGATGATTGTAATTTGCAGGGAACAATTTGGCTGCTGGGTTGCTTTCCTTGCAATTGTAGCAAACATGTTTTTCCCTCACACTTTTCCAGTTCCAGGTTTTATTTCTTGCTGAAATTTCCTAATAGAGCCTATGCTAAGGCTGCTGTTATTCCAAATATATAATGATTCTGCATTACTTTCTATTAATGCAGTTTCGCGTTTTCTGCTATTTGTGATAGCTCCAAATTGGATTGCTCATGGACTAAGAAATAGCATGGTGGGTGGAGTTTTTTGTCTAGCAATAGGCATATCAACTGTCATAGTTGAGATTCGTGGGAATGGGGGATTCCGAAACTGCAGCTGTAATTTCCGCTGCTTCGCCTATTATCTTTGTATAGTATTTCTTTTCTTCTTCACTATATTGTACCTGTGCTTAGGAAGTTGGCAGATAACAAGCATCCCTTGGAGGTAGTGTAAGCATGGCTTGACACAGCCCTTCCCTTTAAGATTGCAAGTATGTTTCTTGAGGACGGCCGGACAGAGGTGTGGTGCATGGAGGTGTTGATATGGGGTCAAAGTCTTGAAGGAAAAAAATAATTTTGATGGGGGATCATACTCGTACTCATGTGAGACTTCGTGGGGAAGTTAAAGTTTCAGTCGGATTCAAGCTAATGGAGGCCGCCAGCACAATTGCTTGAAGTCAAAAACTGGTGGCGCTTTGTCCGGGACAAATTAGATTCTTGTGATACATTCTACTCGGTCATGTCCATTGTGTCAATGACATTCATCATTCATTCATGAATTTATCTGTACCCATTGAGTATTGTTGAAAACAATCCATAATGGACATACATGGTTGAAGGTTTCTCCTCCTAGTTTTCTATTCTTGCGGTTTGGAAGGATCAAGCGCTTTCTAGGGCCCCCATTTTTGGGCTTGACCTGCTCTTAATGAATTTATTAACAAGCTGTCATTCTTAGGGGTGGATAGATGTTACTCCAGTCCAGTATGTTTATGAGATTCTTTGAATGTCATCTGCGGATTTCATCATTTAAAAATAAATAATTTGACTTTTTCATGCCTATGTACGAGGGTTGAATTTGTTACATTATTTGTACGAAATACAGAATTGATTGACGAATCGCAAGGTACGGCGGGCAACTGCTTCCTTGTCTTCTTTCGGGAGTGTATATGAATATAATATTCACAGGCCAGAGTTAATTGCTTAAAAAAAACAGTAGATTTGCTGAGTCATGTCGCTTTCTCTTTTTCCCCTTTTAATTTTCATTATTCAAGTTAAGAGATAAGGAAGAGCGTCAAGTAAGGAACGAGGAGAACCTAAAAAAATGAACAAGGTGGCGTCATACAAGCGGTGATGTCAGATGGAGAGATTTGGTCAGCAGAAAAACAGTATGCAAGTCTTGATGAGCAAGAATGATTTAGCCAATAATTAAATTTGAGAAGAACCAATTCCAGCTTCCGTTCACACAGCTTGTAATCTTCGCAGAAATTGCGCGACATATTCTGTAGCTATGACCAATGATTCATTTCGTGAAAACAAACAAACAAATAAAACTAACATGTACACTGGGACCCATATATGTATATAAATATAGGTGTCACATATTGTTTGAAAACAACCCTCCTGCAATCAGTGATCACATTGGCCACCATTTTCTCCTTTCCACTAATCTGCAATCACAATGCGTCTCCTCCTACTCATCCCAGTCTTCTCTTTCGCTCTGTTCTGCAGTTTCACTCTGATTCAGGGGCAGCAACCTTATATTGGTTTGGGCACAGTAGCCTGTCGCAGAAAGGGCAATCCAAAATCTATTCGTGGTTACACTTGCAACGGCGTTGCTCATAGCTGCCAAGCCTACCTCACCTTCCGATCTCAACCCATTTACTACTCTGTTTCCACAATTTCTGCCTTGCTTGGCTCTGACCCATCTCAACTTGCTGAAATCAACTCAGTTTCTCTGAACGCCACCTTTGCGAAAGATCAATTGGTGATTGTTCCCGTCAACTGCTCCTGTGCAAGTGATTATTACCAGACCAACACTTCCTACACTATCCACAGCACAGACACGTATTTTTTGATTGCTAACGACACTTTCCAAGGCCTCTCAACCTGTCGAGCTCTGATTAAGGAAAACAACATTCCTGGAGATTTGTTTCCCGGCACAAAACTTACAGTCCCTCTTAGATGTGCTTGTCCCACAAAAAATCAAACTGACAAAGGCGTCAAGTACTTATTGAGTTACTTGGTCACCTGGGGTAATTCTGTTGCCGCCATCAGTAAAAGATTTGGGGCACCCACTGATCTCACTCTCGAATCAAATAGCCTTTCTGCTCAAGATTGGATTTATCCCTTTACCACACTTTTAGTGCCTCTTAAACACAAACCCAACATCTCTCGAATCGTTGTGTCTCCTCCTCCACCATCTCCGACATCCCCACCGTCTTCTTCTCCATCCGGTGGCAGCACAAATAAGACATGGATATATGCAGTGGTTGGAGCTGTCGGAGGTATTGCCTTGATATCACTCCTGCTCCTTGGTATACTTGTTTTCCGTAAACGGTATCCTATTCTTAGGAGCGAAAAGAAAGATGATTCTGCCATATTGTCAGAAAGTTTCGAGGCAACAGGGAAGCCAGAAGTAAAAAACGCCGGGGAAGAGTCGGAAACGTTGTCTGAGATAATATCCGACATAGCTCAGTCTTTCAAAGTGTATGGATTTAAGGAACTACAGCGGGCAACGGATAATTTTAGTTCAAACTGCTGCATCAGAGGGGGTGTTTACCGCGGTGTGATTAATGGTGATTTGGCTGCCATTAGGAAGATGGATGGCGACGTGTCCAAAGAGATAGCAATTCTTAGCAAAGTCAACCACTCTAATGTGATACGCCTTTCGGGGGTCAGCTTCAGCGAGGGCCATTGGTTCCTGGTTCATGAGTATGCAGCTAATGGATCCTTGACTGATCGGATCTACGTCAACAACACGGATGGCAAGTTTTTGACTTGGAGTCAGAGAATGCAAATAGCATTGGACGTGGCCACAGGACTCGACTATCTCCATAGTTTCATTTCTCCTCCTCTTATCCACAAGGATCTCAAGAGTGATAACATCCTTCTGGATGCTGATTTGAGGGCCAAGATTGCTAACTTGGGGCTCGCAAGGTCAGTAGAAGGCGAGGATGATCAGTTCCCCGTGACGAGGCATATTGTTGGAACAAGAGGCTATATGGCACCTGAGTATCTAGAAAATGGCATAGTCTCAACAAAACAAGATGTGTATGCATTTGGGGTTGTCATGCTGGAAATATTAAGCGGAAAAGAGGTTGCTGCTGTTCATTCAGGAGATAAAGGGAGTTTGTCGGATGTTTTAAGTGTGATTCTTGATGCGGACTGTGAAGAGGAGAAGCTGAGGGATTTTATGGATCCTCGCCTGGTCGGAAAGTTTCCACTGGAACTTGCTGGGTTTGTGGTTAGAATGATTGATAATTGCTTGAGGAAAGATCCAGCGAGTCGCCCTGCCATGCATGACATTGTGTCGTCTCTCTCTGTAACGTTGAACTCTTCATTGGCCTGGGAAAGATCAGTGACCATCTCAGGAGACCAGAGCTTCAGCAGAAGCTCTTAATTTTGCACAGCCTGAAACAAGACACTAGCAACAAAAGTATTGCTTCTATCTACATGTTCCAAACACACATTTAAATAGCCATTTGTATTTCTCCTACTTTTAAATCAGTTTGTTTATCGGATCGAATGTGTCAAACAATCTGAAACCTCAAAGTTCCGGTTGTACACCCTTGTTCATGCAATGTGGTTTAAGCATGGGAGAGTTGCTATAAAATTTTTTTAACAAAAAAAACATAATTACCAAGAAGTTTTAATAACACAGCAAGTTTCAGTAGAGGAGATAACAAAAAATAATGTTATTTTCTTTTCCCAGAAACCTCATGCTAATTCTCCTTTTATGAACGATGTTGGTGTGACCGGAAAAACCGAATTCGTTGGTCATGACTATTTGAAGTATGCGGCGCTTTCTCTCCAGATGTGCAAATTAATAATTTGATGAAAACAATGAGACTGACACTTTGCTAAGAACCCTGCAACTTCTACAAGAAAAAATTACGAAGCTGGGCACATACGTAAATATGTACGCATATATGAATGAAGACATGATTTATACGATAAGCTATTGTGTATGGGTCAAATTCTACTTCTTGGTAATTAGAAATTCTCAACACGCAAGAATGTTTTAAAATATGAAGTAATGCTCACATCAAATTAACAATATTAAAATTATTCTAAACATGATTTGGGCCACAATTTTTTTAATGAAAGCTGACAGTCAGAAACTATACAAAAAAAAAAAAGAAGAAGAAAGTAAAACAGGATATCATGAACCAAAAAATCTCTACACTCTAAGGGGGTCATTATGTATTCTAACGTTGAATTTCTATAGTACGCTTGGCAAACACGCAAGTGAGCTCATTGGTTTGCTTCTATGAAAATATGATCAAAAGTGACGATTCAATCACGCATAATAAGGTCCTTCATAATTCTGATGTAACTAATAATAAGGTGGTTCTATTAGCACTCGTTTTAGATAATTTGAACATGACCACTCCTTTTTTTTTCTTTGAAGAAGGCATGCAGTCAAATATATTTTGACGTATGGAGAAAAGGCATGTAATCAAACTCAGCAAATGTTTACCCGTGCATTGCAAGTGATATTTGACTGAGCAAAGGGTAGAATAGGAATAAAGCATTTGTTATGAGATTTATGTTTGTCCAAAAAAAAAAAAAAGAGTTCTCCTCCCCACGGAGATTCCAACATTTCCAGTCGTCTTTTCGAGCAAAGTAGCGTATCTCACTTGTAAGAAACTCGTCTCCCTTGAAAACCTCCTTAAAATTATCTCCCTCACAGTCTCTCCTTTTCCATACCCCGACTGTCCACTGTACTAAACATAGCGTAATCATTGTTGTCAAAGAATAAAAGGTATTTCACCCATGAAGCATGATCAGAGTCGGGATGTTTAGTCAAAAGATGGAGGAAAAATAACCAAAACAAAAGCTCTTGGCAGATCCAGTCAGCTCAAACTGACCGAACGATTTAATTGGCCAATATTTTCCAAACAAGGCGTGACTTGAAATTACCCACATACCCAACTTCGAGTACAAACTTACCTCATTTATTCAACATTTGAATTTGAATAGCACAGCTTCGACATTAGGCTTCGATGGCCAATAAAATATATTACTCCCGAAGAAAAATAAATAAATAAATAGATAAAACCCTTTTACACAAGAGTGCCCTCTAACAACCATTCACAGCGAGATCGTAGAGGGGATGGAATTGAATGGATACGTCACCAACACATAACAGAACTAAGCCTGCAAAAAGCTTGCATACTTCGCACCTAGGAAGAGCCGTTGGATGCAGAGCAGTGCATTTTTAGTGACTTCAGTGTTCTCATGATTCATCAGTTTCATCACCCGTTCCTTGGCTTTAAGGTCTGTCACTATGATTCTCCCAGCAGGATGATGTTGGACGAATTGTGAAAGGTCAAAGCATGCAACAGCCAGGCTTCTTGGATCATGGGACGTGTCTAAAATTGTTAGCAGGACCCTTAAAATCTGCAACAGAAAGAAGATTTATGTATGACCAAATTAGAGATCCCTCAGAAGGTAACATACAACAAAATACAATATAATTGATCTTTTCTTTCTGATTGCTGAATGGCATTTCATATACCAATTTATCTGCTGAACAATTACGTCCTTTGAAGAGAAACTATATGTCTTTCTTCCCATATGATGCAAGGGGCAAACAATAGCTTGAAAATTTCTCCAATATTGTACTCTTTTTTTCTTCTAATATTGAAATCCTATTATAATATGTGGAGAAATATTAAAAAGAAGAAAGTTGCACAGAACCTATGTGTGGAAAAGATTAAAAACAGGTATGGCCCAAATAAAATAAAAAAAAGATTAAAAACGGGGAATAAAAGGTCATATGGAGTATAAGAGGTGCCACATTTCCATATAAACCTTATATTTTATACAAATATTAATACTGATAGTAATAGCCCACATTCGTTTAGGGGGCAAAGTAACACTCGTATTTTGTTGAGGCAGATCCATAAGCAAAGGAGATACTGTTACTAAAGCACCTATAAAGGTTTTAACCCTGAAAGAGAAGAATAGCTGTCCTGCCAACTATTGCTAAAGTTCAAAAACAACCTCTACAAATCCAAGATATGTCATAGAATGCAACATGTGTTATCTAACCAAATGGCTTAGCATCAAGCAGAAAAGCATGCAAGCCAGCCAACTAATATTCAGTACCAAACCCTTCATCAAGGTGAACTCAGCATGAGCCTCGTCAACACTAATCGTTCCAATACCCGTTGCAGATCCAGAAATAAGGCAGTTTCTTCATTTTCTATGATATTCCATGAAATGACAAGGAAGTAATATGGCATAGCTAATTCTATTTGATTTTTTTTCTATAACACCTTGAATAAATCTCCGAGCACCCCCAAAAACAAAAAAAACAAGGAAAAAAAAAGAAGAACATAAATGCAGAGATACCTGGAAGTCATTTTCTTCAAAGTTGGTGATATTTTCTCGCCAAAATATAGGATCTTTGTGCATGGGAGACCAATCCAGTTTGCGAAGGAGAACTTCTTGCTTATATTTATCATAAGAACTAAGTTTCTTAATGTTGTCCTTAAGCCCTTCTTCCAGGTAATTCAGCGCTTCCAACAAGTCCTATGATAAACTCCAATCAACAGAAGTGTTGAAGAAGCACCATAAAATAATTTTCACAACGGAGAAAGGGAAGGGGCGGGGATTGGGAACCACTATTTGAACTTATAACACAAACTTTGAGAAAAATAAGATCTCAAAGAGGTGGGACAAGAAGATCATGCTTAACCAAAAATACGGTCACATCAGACCAAAGCAGGAAGTAACAGAATGAGTGATTTATCAACCTCAATTTGTGCATATTCAATTTAGCCACGTAATGCTTTTAGGCACATTCAAGAAAAAATGCCATGTAGGCATCACATTGAAATAACTTGATTTCATCCACTTCAAGACGAGTCCCACATTGCCTATCACTAAATTTTAAAATGGGTGATAACGAGTCCCAAAGAAAAGGTCGTCCAATTTTCCATTACAATGCACAAACATGAGCCAGTGTGAGCCTTCTAAATTTATAAGCACGGGAAATAAAGGCAGGTGTGTATACCAAAGAGGACCAGTTTTTCAACTTGACCACAACCTATTAAAATGAAAGATCACAAGTATAATAGTGATCTAAGCCACTAGCGAACATCAAATTGACAGTAATAGCCATGTGACCATAACAATTCAATGGCAAGATGTATATCATGAATAATCTCCGATGGCTGATATTATCAAGATAGCTCAAACACTTATTCAGCATTTAGGCATCAGGCTTTTAGCATGGTTGTATCTAATCATCTCACCTCGTCACTCCATGCCTGTGCTTTCAAACTCTGAACAACTTGCGGCAGCTGGAGGTCAACCATTTGAGCACCCCATGTCCCTTTTGACAGCAAGTTCTTCAGGGTTAAGATTACTACTCTAACAACCTGGTAAAAATTTTGGCAGAACAAGCCTTTTGACATCAGATCTTTATATCAGCTAAAGTTAAAAACAAATCTAGGCACTTGCTTGGGATAATTGAAAAGTTAATATCATGGTGGAGAACCAATAAAAAATCCAGCGAACAGCAATCACATAGCTTGCGAACATGGAAAGGTAACTAACACCAGAGTATTTTATTGTTAAAAAGAATGTAAAATGAACATAAGCTCATGAAGCCAACAGTACCTTCTCTTTAGTAGAACTCTTAACAACCTCAATAAGTCGGGGAAGGGCTGTTGAAGTAGCCAGATATTCAACTGCTGGCTCATAATAGGATAAGAGCCATATGCAGAGACATGTTTCATAAAGGAGCTGTCACAAAGAGAATTCTTCATTAATTTCCCCCGCAAATATCCCTTCAATTCTAACATTTACTAATTTCAATCGGTGATTTTGTTATGGAATAAAATTTATTTAAAAAATTGAGGATCTCACAATCACCATCTCCACCATTGTTCTTAGGAAACAAGTTCCCTTTATAACCTGCATTAGATGCACCATGCTTATCTAGCTACCTATTGGCAGGATTCATAAGCGGCAACTGAATCTGAAGCCAATAATAAACCTTCTCAGCCAGTGACTGGGTCCAGACATACCTGAATAGACTGTTGGGTGGATGCTGGTAAAATCAAAGGTACAAGCAACTTGACCCCACCTGCCTGAACAAAGGAAGATCTAACCATAGCCTCCTTAAGAAGAGCTGATAAACAGTTGATAGCAGTTGGCACACCACGACTAGGATGAGTAGGGTTCCTCAGCTACAGACCATAATATGAGGAAGGTGAGAAACTAAGAATGCATATTGGAATCTTCTTGCAGAATTTAACACAAGTAGCATTATATGTGCAATTTCAGTTAGACAAGATCACACTAAATGACTACAGATCAATGCGTCTATCTGTAAAATCTGGCTTGTGCAATTCTGTGGTCATCATTAGAACCTAGTCATTCGTCATTTATTGTGTCACATGCTTCTATATGGAAATCCTGCATTTTCATGTATGTCAAGCACTTGTGGCATTAACATGATCGGATGCATCGTCAATATCTTTGTTGATTCCACTGCATGCAGTCGGTGTAGTGAGAAAGAAACCATGTACATCCATGATAAAGCCCATAGCTCTCACATCTCTATAGAATTGGATTAATATCTTTGTCAACTTACTCTGCCTGTGCCCTTTTCATACAGATATCGTGGATGCTGCAGAATAAAAATTCTGCCTCTTTTCTTTCTTAAACAGTTTCCCCATTCTATTTTCATGTACATGTTTTTCAGCTGGTCAATTGCACTTGACAAAAGAATGGAAAGGAACACAAGTTTTAGAACGAAATACCTGTTCACAGAGCCATTTTACCAGTTCCTTTAAAACATCATCAATAGTAATAAATGGCTTCTTTGATTTTGATGCTTCTCCATTTGCAACCCTGCTATCCTGATTTTTTGGCCTCGCACTACATTGACAAAGTGATTAGAAATTGAAATTACCAAAAATGTAACTTACACAGCAAAACCTGCAACTTAAGATGAGTCTTAGATTCTAGAGTAAAATGTCAATAGGCATCACAGCTGTTTTACCTAACTACAGAAGCAAGGATCTTACAACTTTTCTCTTGTATGAACCAATTTCCTTTCCAAAGCAATCTGAAAGATGGACATTAGTATTATTTTTACTTTTCAATGATTTTAAAGTAGAAGGTAAATACATAAGATGATAAAAATAAAGTGACATCATCTCAATCATGACTAAATAAATCTAATAACTAATCAAATTATAAAAAATATCTGGTAGGAAAAAATTGTGGAAACAAAGAATCGACCCGCCCACTGTTAAAAGTAAAGTGTAAAAACACATTTTCTATCTACACACGAATAGATGCATTGCTGCGGAAACCAACTTTAGCTGTCTTGGGCCATGGAGAATCTAAAAGACTAAAATTTCATTTTCTTGGTTCTTATATAGTAGGAATGCTGAAAAAGAAATATGCAAGAATGGAAAGGTAGTGCGTTAATCTCCAGTCGGAGCAAGATATTACTGTTTCCAAAAGAAACTGTGAGAAGAAATTATCAAAAACTCAAAAATATGATGGAAGGCGAATGGAAACAAACAAAGAAGTGAGCTTCCATAATTTTCAAAACCAGACGAGAGTTAATAATTAAGCTACTGAATATATTTTAAACACTTAACTTAAGAAAGGTCCATAGGCATCATCATCTGTTAGGGATTTATCATGAAACAGCCTCGCTCTTTTTGGATTTGCTGCAAAAGGGAGCGAATAAAAGGTCCTGCAGCTAACTATAATGCATAGAGAAACAAAAGACCCATTTTACCCAGTTACCTGTAAGCATTTCATCTATTAAGGCCAGAATATATTCCACAGTCTCATCTTTATGTATATCACGCAAAACATGAACAAACACACGTACATAAGCCGGACCATCCTGCCAGAATGAACTTGAAATTTCAATACCATTAGACAGTAAAGTCAGCAAAGATTCATAGATCTACTTGAAGAAGATTCATTTACAAAATTAGGGGAAAGAAAATAAATTTGGCAGAAAGCCGAACTTATCACTAAAATGGAAGAAAAAATTGAAGGATTTTCAGTAAGAAGTACATCGTCCAATAACTGTGCTCTCTGACTTTGTGATTTGTGATCATAACGCCTTAAGAGCTGAAGGCTTGTGCCTGAGATCAACTTAGTGTTCATATACGTCTCCCATGGGATATCCCTCCTCAGAACCTTCAAAAGTGTCAACAGAATGTCAATAGAAACAGCACTATAGTAGTCCACTCGATCATCAACATTATGAAATTTAGCAAATAATTAACAAAAGCAACACAGAAACCCGACCGGATTTAAGTAAATCTGTCAGAAAATAATAAAACGAAACTTGAAGCCAGATCGAACAATGAAAACGAATGACAAAACTAAAGAATAAAATGGCAAAGCAAGGGAGGTGTAGGGGGCACAAACTTGTTCTACAGTTAACTCCGCCTGGTCCATGCCGCTTGAACCGTACGAGTGAGAGAATTTACTTCAGATGGTATCTGAAAATCAGAATTGGGTAATGGAGATCAAGGTTAAAAATCAACCTCGTACTAAGTTCAGGATTACTTCGCATAATTATGACCAAAAACTTACGGAGACAGAGAAAATGAGGGGCGGTAGAATGTCCGACGAAGACACAGAAGCTCAACTCTCCTCCTTCGCAACTTCCTCCCGGCGGTGAGATTTTTGGCTCCTAGCCAATTACTCGCATCTTCTACCGTGATCCTCCAAATAACAGTTATGTTCGCCCCGCTGCCACGTGGGTCGTCGTTTTTATCTTACTAATTATTATTATTATTTCTCCAGACTAAATATGTCTAGGCATGTGAGGAAAATTTTTTAGTGAAATAAAGACGAAAATAAATATTAAAAAAAGGAAAAATAACAAATAAAAACCTTCTAGTATATAAAATTGTTGAACGTTTTATTCGTCTTACTGAACTTATCACTCGTCTTATTAAACTTGTCATGGATTGCTTATCAAAACTTGTCATTTGCTAAAGAAATATGATAATTCTGTTATTTTAACATAGAAACTCAAATTTCTATGAATTGTTTATCAAAAGTTGTCATTTGCCTTGCTAAACTTGTCATTCGTCTTACTGAACTCATCATGAACTGCATATTAGAACTTGTCAACTTGTTATTTTCAACAACTTACCAAACTTGTTATTTTCAATTACGAACACAAGCTAAAAATCAAAATAGAAATAAAAAATAAAAATCCAAATTTGTTGGGTATTGTCTAAGCACTAAGCAATTATCCCACAAATTGCAATCAAACATCAAAAGCATTTCAAATGACTGCAACTCTCCTCTCCTTCCACAACAGTAGAGAGAATGATGAAAGATGTTTCATTGCCGATGAAAGAATGGCTAGGCAAGACAAGAAGAAAATGACAGGAGATGACAACGAAAAGAAGACTTTTTCAAGTCTGGTTTGCAAAAGAAGAGAAGCCGGAGGACATTTTAAGTTCCATTGCTAGTCATTGGGTATCATACTTTGGAAAGGAGTGAGAGGTCAAATTGATAATGGAAGATCCAAAGGAAAGAGAAGGACGAAAAGAGAGAGAGAGAGGAAAAGAAGAAAGAAAGGGAAGGAGATCTGGAGAGAAAGAGAGAGAAAAGAAGGACATTTTGGATATATCACTATTGTTTCATATTTACAATATAGGATTGGGTTTCTTAAAACCATTTTTCATATTGAGAAACCCATTTAGCAATTTTACATATTAGAAAGTCTTTATTTACTAATTTTTTAAAACAAAAAAAGAAAAAAAGATGTTCGGTATACGCTGAGAAAGAAAGAAAATGAGCATTTACCCATATATGTTTATCGTCTTTTGGTAAGATTTTTTTTTTTGGGGACTGAAGCATTGGGAAACGTGAAAAAGAATGGAAAATAATGGAGATAAATAAAACACTACTATACCAAAAAAATACCCTTGTGAATATATATATATATATATATATATATATATATAAAAGATCCATTACAACGAGTTCCCATGCAAATTCATTGTTTTCACACGCGCCATTCCTAGTTCCAACTTCCTATCACGTCACCTTCCCAGTCTGAATTTCATCAAGTTATGGCTTCGCACGATACTGGAATTTGTTCACCAAGCTTTTATCGGGCACCAAGCACCATGGGAGCAGATTCCTTGTCATGCAATGCATGCCATTGCAAGAGAAACAGGTTTGATCCTGATTTGTGGCTACTATAATGTAAAATTTGAGGGGCTTGTTAAGATTTTCTGGGGGTGGCCCTTAAGCAGCCCACCATGGCTTGGATTTTATTCGCCTGCAGTGTTGCATATTTGCAGCCTTTTTCCCGAAAGAAATAGACGCTGCGCAACCTGAGGAACTTCCATAGCTAACGAGCAGGCCCAAGAACTACAGTACACAGACCTGTCCTCAAACCCAAACCTTCTTAGGCCACTTGTTCCTTTTTGTGTATGCAGGCTTATCTGTTTACTGCCTACTCTAACTTGGAGCCCAAAGCATGGGAATGGGCACTTGTGTTTGTCTACAAGGCCCAGAGAAATATAACCCGTCAACTAATGATATCTAGGCCCCGCTGCTTTTGTCTCCATCGGGCCCAATCATGTTTTAATGCATGGTCAAAGTTCCTTATTCCAAAAAAAAACAAAGAAAAGGCAAGTTTTCCGATTAATAGATTGTTTACGTTATTGTTCTTTATAAATAAGTTCATTTTTATATTTTGAAAAATAGAAGTATTCAATTACATGTTCTGTTGTAGACTTGTAGTTGAAAAAAGGACGTGCGCGCAGTCTAATATTAACTTGACTGTGATAAATTAAAATCTTTGCATAGCATATCTAATATCAAAAGAGTCATATTGTTGGCACAAAAAATAAAAAGAGTGAAATTAAATTTGTGAATAAAAGATTAAATATGAGACTTGTAAAATAGGGTAACTGGTAACAAAACCCTCTGAACTCGATGAGAGGGAAACTGTTGCGGAGGAGCAGATGCAAAGACGACAGAGGTTGACACGGGAAGAATGAAAAATCTGGTGATTGTGGGGGCAACTCAACAGCCTGTCGCCTCTCTGTTGAAGACACGTGTCAGGCTTGATTCCTGAGGACCACTACTCCACCCACGTGGCTGCGGCCCCAGCAGGTGGACCACATTTGGACCCTGACTCATATGCCCTTCCTCTCTGCTGCCACTTATTCGTTTGTGATTTTATGATATTCCCCTTCTTACCTATATTCTACCCCCGGCCCTCTCAATTATTTCCTGACGTCCCTTTCCTTTCCCGCCCATCCTCTTCAACCCATTTCTCAAATACTGCCCCTTTTCCCATTTCCCTTTTTTCTTTTATCCGCCTCAACTCATCTATGTATATTCTCCATTCTCCAATAGTAATATTTTTGGGAAACGCAAAGGCAAGATCGAGGGAAACAATAATTCATTGAGAAATAAAACGCGTAGGTGAGATTATGATCTTGAAAGCCAGACATGGGAATGTTGGTCCCTTTGTTAATGTGGGAGAAAGTGACCCCTCTTGAGAAGGACGTCCCTGTTCTCTTCCCCTATACTCTACTCCCAAGAACATCGCCCTCTACACACACACACACACCAGTTCCAATCAAACACAGGCAATGTATATGTTATGTGCATTTCTGTGTGTGTTGGCTCCAATTGCTGCACACGCGCGCGCGCACGCACACATGTATTAGATAGCTGCGGACTCCAGCCTCCGGAGCTTCATGCAGCGTAACCATCATTAAGTGTTTCATACTAGCAGTATTCAACTGTGTCCCGTCCTAGTGTCTCATCCCTGTCCCCAAAGCTTTTGGGACAAGATGAAAGCCGGATGGGACAAAATTGTTTCGAGACGAGACGGGACTCCTGTCCTGTGTCCCGTCCCAATATATTATCTTTATTTTTAGTTGTTATATATTTATTTTATTTATCATTGTAATAGCATTTTGGTAATGATATTTATCAATTGTTATTTTTTATTTGTTTATAAGTTGTTTTTGTATGAGTTACATGATATTCTTTGTAGTAAATATTTTAGGTTTGTTTATTTTTTGTCTCTCATAATTACAAAAAACATTTTTCTTTGTCATTTTTATCTATTTTCCTCACATATTTTTATTACAAGTTTTTACATTTCTTACTATAGTTAGCTTTCAAATTTAAAAAAAAAGAAGAGATGGAACGTTCCTGTCCCGTCCTCGTTATGTCCTGTTCCAATTGAGATGGGACGTTATTAGGACGGGACGGAAAAGTCGCCCCGTCCCAATTATTGGGACAGGACTGGGACAAGATCGTTCCTGTCTCGTTTCGTCCCATGAACACCTCTGTTTTGTACGATATTAATTGAGTGTAGTATTCCATGCTTGCTTTACAAACATCGATATTTCAACTTACGTGCATCAAATAATGTTAATAATTTCTCTATCTCGTATCAGAGTCAGAGAATGGAAAAGGGATCTCTTGTTATTGTGACCTCCTGCGCTGTGCTATTCTATAGAAGTGCCTTTTTTTTCGGCAAGCTATTCTATTATAGAAATTAGGCTACTTATTATTGGATAATCACATATATTTAACATTGAACGACTGTACAAGATTACTCAATGCAATCTCATCTCCCTGCCTGACCCCACGGAAAGCATATACATAGCATTAATTGCTTGCTTTTCCATTTGCCGCAATTACTGTGATTTGTCGCCTCTGAAGTAAGCCTGAGTTTAAATGCCCTTCTGTCTGTGTGACAAAAATAGCGGTTTTAATATTGAATAGCATCGAAACAGCGTTGACATCGTTTTGTGATGATTTGCTGACAGATTTCAACTTTTCGCTGCAATGAAGGATAGAACCATTTAAAAAAAAGAAAAAAGAAAGAAGCTGGCTTAGGGTTTGGTGGTGCGAGAGGGACGGGAGGCTTAATTTTAAAGCAAAAAAGAAAAGAAGAAAAAAGAGTTGGGCAGGTTGCTTAACATATTGTTTGAGTATCTGAAGATTCCTTATTGAGGGGAAATTGTTGGTTAGGCCTTAACATCGGTAGGTAAGGGTCTTCCTTATTATTAAAAGACAACAATTGTATTACATCATGATCCAAAAACACCAACAAGCAACTAGAAGAAACACAAGAAACAAAATAAATTTTAAAAAAAACGATGTAGGGGAAATGGTTGCTTGTGTTCGTATTGTCTGACAAAAAAAGTGCTAGCATGTTACTAATTAGTACTCTCTTTTGTCCCTGATATGGAAATTATAGCCGAGATTAAATTTAGCTGTGAATATAGGATCTTAATTCAATTTATTTCTCTATATTTATCATTTTTTTCAAATTAATTTAGAAGTATATAACTATAAATGAAATGGATAAGATTGTGAGGATGAAAAAGAAATGGTAGGATGAGAACATTAAAAATAATCATAAACAGTTTAGTCAAAACAAGATAAGAATATACTGCTTCCCTCCATAATCTTATAAGATTTTCCCCTCCCCTCTTGCAAACTTTAGGTTGCCAAACAAGGCCTTTCTTCTCCTCCAAATCCCTCACACCAAACGCACCTTTAATTTGCTTTCTATGATTTCGTTTTCCATTCCATTGGCCCCAAAGAATCATTCACAGAATTTATTTTTTTTAAAAAAAATCACCAATTGGCATTGGCGCTTCCTCCTCCATCGATTTCCCTCTCCACATTTTGCTTGATT